ATGCATGCACGATTACACAGATCCACTATCACTCATTACTAGTCAGCATATGAACATTTTAACCCACCCCCGTACATGGAAAGAAACAACGCAGTTATTAATAAAAGGATTTGAAATTAATGCACGCAAGGTTACACAGATCCAGTAACCCACCTTCGTAGTCAGCATATGAATTTTTCAGCCACCCTCGTACCTGGAAAGAAACAATTCAATTATTAATAAGAATCGAAATGAATGTATGCAAGATGTCACAGTTCTAGCATCATTCCTTCATAATCAACCCATGAACTTTCTAGTCCACCCTCGTATCTGGAAAGAAACAATCCAGTTATTAATAAGAAAAGCTGAAAATAATGCATTGGCAGCTCTACAATCACTTCCTCAAAGTCAGCCTGTGACCTATTCAGCCAACCCACGTACATGGAAAGAGAGAATGCAGTTATTAAGAAGATCTGAAATTAATGCATGCAGGATTTCAAAACTCTAGCATCAGTCAACCTATGAATCTATCAGCTACCTTCGTTCCTTAAAAGAACGAAAGCTCTCACCAATAAGAAGCGTTGAAACTAACGCTTGCAAAATTTCATAGATGCCGTATCATTCATCTCATCCCATGAACGTTTCTGCCCACCCTTGTAAGATACGAAGATTACTGCACGTCGTTGCCAAAGACAGAAAGAAAACTAAAGGAACCTCGACATAAACTAGCGAATGAATGCGAGACAAAAGAAATTGACCATCAATTGTAAGATGAGAGAATCCATGACTGAGCAAGTGGAACAATACAAAATGAAGTTCTCTATTTTTTTGGATATATGACAAATCAGACAATTTTTTCCTTCATAATAAATTAAAATCTTCTTCCCCTTCCTATTTACACGATCTCTCAGTTTTGTCTCCACTAACAGAAATATTTTTGGCACGATCTATTTCCTCGGAATCCAGTCTGCGCATAATAATAGTCTGCAAACAATAAAAAAAAAATAAACATTTTATAGATTGTCTGTCACTTCTACGCGGACGACACTACAATTTACTCCTGCCTCGAAAACAAATCTAGTGTCGCTGACAAAACTAACCTGGCCGTTCGTCTTGAAATGGACCTCCAATTGGTTGTTAATTGGGGCAAGAATTGGCTGGTCAACTTTAACGCCTCAAAAACAAAACTACTCTCTGTTAATCACCATAGAGATCATTCCCTGCCCCCCCCATTTAGAATGTCTGATAGTCAACTTCTTGAGAGCAACTCCCTGCGTCTGCCCAGTCTCACGTTGACTGCTGACCTGAGATGGAACAAATACATTGAGTCAATCACCGCGAGGAAAGTTGGCTCTCTGTGCCGCGCCAAGAAATTTTTCTTCCCGGAATCGATACTTCAAATATACAAATCAACCATCGCCCTTGCATGGAGCATTGCTGCCATATATGGTCTGGGGCACCTTTTGTTTACCTCGGAGTTCATGACAAGATCCAGAAACGGATATGTAATATAATTGGCCCTGATCTGGCATCTCGTCTACAGTCACCCTTTCACAGACGCGCCGATACTTCCATGGTAACTGCTCCGATGAGCTGCTTTCACTGGTTCCCACACTCCATGAATTCAAGCGCCCTACGAGGCTTGCATCCCGCTCCCACCTTTACACTGTAGAAACTTTTAAATGTAGCCGTCTCTTCTACTCCAATAGCTTCATACCTCGCACCTCTCGCCTGTGGAACACCCTTCCCAATTACTGTTTCCCTGAGAGCTATAATCTCCAACTATTCAAATGTAATGTCAATCGACATCTCCACTTACCTTGATCTATCCACTATCCTTCTCCTCATCCTTTCTTCTATCATTCCTATCTGCTCTCGCTCTGCAAAATCTTCTGCAATCCCCCAAGCAATCAGTTGCATCCTATTTGGTTTGAAAAAAAGATTGGAAGCCTTCACGCCTGATGGTTTCGGGAACTCGGGGCGTAATGCGGTTTAAAAAAATGCAATATTTGTAATATCCGGACGCCTAGATAAATGACGAAGTCAATCAGTTCTCTTTAAAAGAGATATTTATTTTAGGCCAATCTAACTTAGCTAGTCACAATCACTGACCCCAAAATTTGCTGACATTGAAACAACATATTGCTGACTTCAAATGTATATATTTTCAGCAGGACCAAAACAACTGTTACAAAAAAAGATTGGAAGCCTTACCAGAAAAAGGCTACATTACTGTGTTATTTGTATTTCCATTCATTTTATTATTAATGTTGATTTTTCATTTATGGATAAATGAGATTAATATAAAAATAAGATGATAAAAAATTCGTAAGATGATACTGGTACTTGTAGGTACCCTTTTCAGTTGAAATTGAAAAATCAAATAAACCTCTCCACACGTATTTCGCAAAAATAAGGCCTTAACAGCGGAGAACAATGCTTAACTCAAATAACGCAACAATTTTATTATTGTTGATTTTCCGTACTTTATAATTACAGCCATATTATAAACACAAAATTATATTTCTTAATTACTGCGAGCTTTCTTATTGATTGTCGGAGTTAACTCCTCCTTCAGTTCGTAACCCTTTCACCATGGGTCTCTCTTTCCTGGCTATAAATAGCCAATGACCCTTCGCCTCGATCTCCTTTTTCCTTTCAGGCCTGTGCACTAACACCTCGAGGTAAATTTCTCTTATTCCGAGAGGATTTCAACTATCAACCTCGAAATGTAGTCGCTAACAAGGAATAGCGTGGAAACACGCTAAGCACAATATACACACACGCACGCACACACAGAATATTCACACACGCACGCACATACAGAATATTCACACACACTTCGTCCTTTGTACTGTTTCCATGTATTGTAACTTGTTATTAATATATATTTGTATATACATATATTATCGGTCTTGTTTTGTTTGCTTTCTTTTCCTTTTCTTTGGACTTAATCAAAGTCCAACCTTTTTATGTAGTTGGGCTCGGCGGGCAGGAGTTTCTGAACCTTGCGTTTCTTCTACGTCTGACTTCTATCAACAACATAACAGCCACGCCATGAACCCTCAACAAACCGTAACCGCCACGGCCCTCTACATGATAAAAAGGATAGAATTTACAACGCACTAAAAGATCTATCTCAAAAGGACATTTACGAAACTGAATACGCCTTTTAACTAATTTTATAATCTTTTAACAACTTAAATGTAAAAATATTTTATAAATAAATAAATAACAAATGAGTGTATTAAAAATTCAGTATTTAGGTTAAATACTAGACAGAAACTTATGGCACAGTGGATAAAAACGTTAGTTACATCCAGCGACAGGACCCAAAGAGTGTGAGTTCAATACACGTTTCAGAGCGAATTTAACAGGAGATAATTGATAACTGACACCCATTAAACATGGCACCTGGAACTAGAACATTCTACCCCAGTGAGCGAAATAAACGGTTCAGTTCGGCATTCCACTCAACTGAAGAAGGCCGGAGTGTACAACGGCTGAAACATTGTAATAAATATGGCAATAAAGATGAGGACAATAGTCCGAATAATGTAAATAATGTTAATAACAACATTCATTAAATTTTACACACTTTTCCCTAATTTTAGAAAAATTAACTGCATTTAATGTAAAAATAATAAAATATTTCAGAAATAACAAATAATTGTTTTAAAAATTGATTTTTCATCGAAGAATCTTATTGCTTTCAGATAATATTGTCTATGTTCATTAAAATATATAAAAGCAATTAAAAGCTTTTGTAATTGAATAATATTTTTGTTTTATTGAGTTTTGCATGTTACAATTCAGAGATGATTTTCAGGTGCCGGTGGTCCAACCCCCTCTTCCCCCCAGAAAAATGATTTGGCATCCTCAAAGCCTTGTGCTTTTAAGTAATATAACATTAATCTACCCAAAATTAAAATTATAGAGTTTTCGTACAATTAGTTATGAGAGGTGGGTAATACATACGAAAAGAAATATTTTTGCCATGACTTTAAAAAGGAAAACAAATTTCTAATACGTTCCATCATTTGTGAATAGTTTCTGAAAGTTTTATTAAAATCCGACAGCCATTTTTATTTTTGCAAGATTTTCGAAATTAATGTCTGTCATACAGAAAAAAAAACGCGCTAAAATATGTTATTTAGTTCTTCCGCTGGACATGAAGAGAAACAAGGTTTTTCAATCAAAATTTAGAATGTTCTAAAAAGAAGGAATTTTTTTTTTAAATAATTAAAAAAATACTACGTTCTTTTATCTTAATAATAACATAAACATTTAGACGCTAAAATTTTGTTTTCGTTAAGTTTGGCGTCTTTTTCATCATGCTATAATCTGTTTTTGGCGATACCTATATTTACGTATCTTTCTTGCTTTCTATAATAAGCATATGTATCATAGATAGAATAAGGATCGACAGACAAAGACATAGATAGATAGATAGATAGATAGATAGATAGATAGATAGATAAGAACATAGGTATATAGGTAAATAAATAGAGAAGGAGTGAGAGGGTCATTTACGTATCCTTCTTACTTTCTATAATAAGGATATGTGGCATAGATAGAATAAAAGACCGACAAACTCAGAGATAGATAGATAGATAGATAGATAGATAGATAGATAGATAGATAGATAGGGAGAAGGATATTTACGTATCCATCTTACTTTCTATAATAAGGATATATGGCACATATAGAATAAAAGTCCGACAGGCAAACTCAGAGATAGATAGATAGATAGATAGATAGATAGATAGATGAGAACATAGGCAGATAGATAGATTAATAGAGAGGGAGAGGATCATTTACATATCTTTCTTACTTTCTATAATAAGGATATCTAGCATACATAAAATAAAAGACCGACAATCAAAAGCATAGATAGAAAGATATATATATATATATATATATATATATATATATATATATATATATATATATATATAGCTAGATAGATAATTAGATAAAGAGGAGAATGGTTATTTCTATAATAAAGATATGTGGCATAGCTAGAATAAAAGACCGACAGAAAAAGACATAGATAGATAGATAGATAGATAGATAGATAGATGTGAACAGACTGAGATAGATAGATTGACAGATAGATAGATGTGAACAGACTGAGATAGATAGATTGATAGATATGAACAGACTGAGATAGATAGATAGATAGATAGATAGATAGATAGATAGATAGATAGATAAGAACAGACTGAGATAGATAGATAGATAGATAGATAGATAAGAACAGACTGAGATAGATAGATGTGAACAGACTGAGATAGATAGATAGATAGATATGAACAGACTGAGATAGATAGATGTGAACAGACTGAGATAGATAGATAGATAGATAGATAGATAGATAGATAGATATGAACAGACTGAGATAGATAGATAGATAGATAGATAGATAGATAGATAGATATCCTATCCTTGTTTGATTCTAATTCTTACCTTGTACCTTCTTCCGTACTTCTTGCCTACCATCATGAATTCAGTTTTCTTCCAATCAATATTTAGTCGTTTCATCTTGCTTTCCATCACTCCTTTTTTGGATACGTACGTAATAATTAACCTTTGAACATGGCCAGTATTTCGATATTAATTAGCGCACACAATTCTTCTGGTGAGATCCCCGTGGATCAAATGAAATTACGGATTCGCAATACTCTAAAATCCTTTTGAATATTCCTGCAATAACGTTGTTTCATGAATAATTTTAATTTTCCTACGAGTAATTTTCAGTTCCTTAGGGTGTTTTTCTTTTAAAAAGGCTTGTCGGTGCTGTTTCAAGAGCTAAAATGTTATATTTGATTTAATACTGCTCTAGATATAGCACTACTAAAAAAAATATTCATCCACTTCACAAAAATATGGAATATTTTTTCTATGAAAAAAATTTTGTAGATTAGCATACATTAGACTTCCTCGGGTCATGGCTTTTCTCATTGTTATACCTGGACATACCTATTTTATTGTTAATAGACTCTCCCACAGATAATAAGTAGTAGTAGTAGTAGCAGTCGCCAGGGCTCAGTAGAGTTGGTGTGTCAGTCGATGTCCACCACAACTAGATTGCTGCGTCATTAACTATTATTTTCAAGTTCCTAACGTTTTGTACGTCGAACCTAATTTAGGACCGACTTAGTGAAATAAAAGCTTTCACTATGAAAACTACTCTACAACAATCATAATCGAAAAAAATATCGATTTGTTTTCAATTTAGAAGAGAGTAATTTCATACTATCTTCGCCCCAAGGAACTCAGCAAAGCCACTAAGCCAAAAGGGTTTACTGGGAGTGAACGAATTAAAAAACAGATACGTTATTAAGGAGCAAGAACAATAGGATAGTTATCAGGAAGACAGCAGAAAAATATTGATTTTGGATTTATTTTTTTTAAGATCAAAGTTAGCCGGAAAGCATGGCACCGGAAGACGATTGCCAGAAGTGAGAAGTGCTAGAGAAGAAACTGTTATAGAACTTCCGGTTGTACTTAACTATCACAACTTTAAACGGATGAGACTTTGTTACCAGTCTAGTACTACGCTTAAATTAAAAAAAAAATCTAGATGCCATGGCGAGGAGCGGTATTTAATTGTACAACAAAAATGCAAAATATGGCACAAGGCCAAAATGAAGAATGGGGAAAAAGGTTGTTCTTCTTCTGATTTAACATTAAACTTTGCAAGCCACAATCACTGACCGAAACATACTACAATAATCCTTACACCAAAACAACGTATTCTTAATTACCATTCTAACTACAATCGCCAAAATACCACATGTCTCTATGAAATCCTAACTACTCCCCATATGTACATTTCCTCTCAGTGAGGGGATGGAGGATATAAAGAACAATATAAAAATATCTAAACCACAACAATTACCATGAAGGTATTTATAGAAAAGGCATAGGGAAGCAACATTACGGCGGTGGGAAAGTGACTGAAGTCGTGACGCCATGTCACGGCCAATAATATTACTGATTCTTCTTTGGATTCTATGAAGAATCTTTAAACATATAGAAGAAGCATCATATGTGACGGTTATATTCTGAGCGTGGACGTATGATAGACTTAATACTTTGTAAGAAAGTCTTTTAGAGAGAAATATTGTCTAGAGCTATACAATGAACCAATTTTCTTAGCAGCTGACCTAGCAATGATTTTACTATGGTCTTTCCACTTTATGTCAGCTGAGATCGTTAGCGTGAGAAGGCGCAACGAGTCGCTCTCCCTGAGGTTAGCATCAGCAATGTTGATGGAAAGAAGAAAGGAATCTCTATACAGTGTAATATCTCTACTTGATATTTACTTTCTTTCATTCATTTTCTCATCGAAACCAAGTAACCTTTCTGATGTCTTTTTCGCGCAATCAGAACGGAATAGCCATTATTTATTATGTTTTGACTCCGTAACATATGTATGTGTTCACTAAATATTTAAAGTACGAGCAGTCATAGTTATTGGACGAAGATGTTATTAATAAATGTCAAGCTGGAAGCTGTATTTACATCATTGACAGTTGCATATTTTTTCAAATATTTTTATTTTTAAAATACATTTTCGGTGTGTGCGATTTTCTCGATAGCAGGTGTACAGACATTCGTGACAATAGTGAGTCATTTTAATTTTGTAAGCAATCTGTGAAAGATATTTTCGCTATGACGCAAGGAATTGAAAGAAAATGGGTAAATGCTAGCAAGCAGAACGCTCAATAAAAGAACAGTTTTAAGTAAGAAAAGAAATGACGACTGATGTTGCATCTAAATTTCTGAATATCTTAGATGGAAGTAGAGCAAGCCGGAAAAATGTTCCAAAGTTAAAAAAAAGAAACGGTTTTGCTATAGTATGATATCTACCGAGGCATTTGCGCACTCGTTATTGCTGGAAAATGCTCAGGAAAAAACGATGACGTGTTTATTGTTTTTTTTAAATGACATAAAATCAGTTTACAAACATTAAAATCACTAGTTGATGATTTTATTTTTTGTATAAAAATTGTTAATGATTTTTAATATATAACCAGTTCAGGGTTCACTACTTTTATACCTAACACTAAATCTAACCCTAGACCCTAACCCCTAACCCTAACCGTAACCCCTAACCCTAACATATTTCATATTACTAACTTCTTTCTTTTTATATACCATGTCCTTTCAGGACGTAAGCGATCATGGTTCTCCACCTCCTTCTATCCCTTGCAGCTCTCAACAAGTTCCTTCCCTATTCTTCCTCCATCAGACCACGTTCTATCATCCACTTGCTTAAGTCCGCCAGGTACGTCACGACTTGTTTCCCCATGTCTTTCTTTCCCTCTAACTCTAACACACTACCTAACCTTAACCCCTAACCCAAACATATTTCATATTTCTAACTTCTTTCTTTTTATATACCCTGCATTTCAGGACGTAGACGATCATGGTTCTCCATCTTTCTCTATCGATTGCAGCTCTCAACAAGTTCCTTCCCTCTGCTTCCTCCCACAGACCACGTTCTGTCATTCATTTGCTTAACCCTAGAACACTAACCATGGGTATATAGTACCCAGCGCAAATTTTCCTATTTTTAATTACAATTTTCAGTAACTGAATAAATAATGTTTTTCAGTTCCTATTAATGTTAACTCAAATTACAAAGTTTGAAGTGACTGCATGTAAAATATTTCAAATAAAAAAGTATATTCAATATTTTTTCTTGATATTTTCAAAATCGGGTATGATATAGCCATGGTTAGTAGTGGTGTAACTTTAATTGATGGTTAGTGTTCTAGAGTTAAGCCCGCCAGATATTTCACCCCTTGTTTTCCCTTGTCTCTCTTTTCTTCTATTCGATCCGTGTGTATCATTAGCAAATATCATCACATAGTACAAAGTCAATAGTAGATATTTGACTATAGCAGAAAATGGACTGGAGATATTATACTATAGTAACATCAAAGCAGCTATTCAAATAGAACCTACAGCCATTTCCACAGAACAAATATGAGAATATGATTTTCACTAAAGTACTACGCTTAAATTCGCGCGGTTGAAGTATGACGAGGTTAAGGTTATAATAATTGCCATGAAGTTGTGGATAGATTTATAAATTTAACGTTTCTTAAATATGAGATTTTTTTTCATACATTTATACAAATTTATAAAAAATGTAGGAAAGTGAATGTAAACAACGTGAGAGGTGATAACGTATATCTTTGTAGATACTTCTTTGAATATTGTTAGAAATCTCGTGATATATAGCAGGAGAACGAAAGCAATATTAAAGGCACTGACGAGTGGATGATACATAACCTTCAAGATGGATGCTAGCGTCAAAAATTGTCTGGAATGAAACAATGAATTAACTTTCCTATTAGAGAACTTATCAGTTGATTCAATATAATCTTTTCCCTCTGTGTAAACGGAAAATGTAAGACAGAGTGTTTAGTACCAAACATGTGGCAATCCATTTGCTCTTTATTTAAAAGAAATCTTGGCAAGGATAAACATTCGTGTCCGCAATAGAAAGGTGTGTCAAATGAAATTTTCTTTTCTTCCCCATCGATACAATTTTGTACTACCTTTACCTCATCGGCAACGTTTATTGTTTTAAAAAGCAATGATTAGAATTTTAATAAACCCGAACATATTGTCTTTGTTCTTTGAGAATTTGCGACAAAATATTAAACCCATTCATTAAATTATTTGATTGTAAGAATAATTTTCTGTTTCCCTCATTCTAAAAATGCAAACCAACTAATACAATACAATGTTTATCAGTTACCAATTTATAAAGCAATAAACATGAAGACAATTCTTTATTCAAAAATTTACAAAAAATTTAATAAGTCATAAAAATTTGTGAACCAGCTATAATTAAATCTTTATTATTTACAATTTTATAAAGCTCCAATCGATTGGCTATTCCCCAGTCTTTTGCCAAGCATTCCAAAGAACACTGTTCCACTGGGCTTAGTGTGGAAAGATAAATTATATGAGACTGGCCAGTGAAGATCTGAAGCAACACAAAGACAACATGAAACGTGGTTAAGGGAATAACAATTTTATTCAAACTGCCATCCGATCAGTTGTTTCCTCCCAGTATTCTCTAGTCATAATCAACATTATTCTTGCTAAAGTATTTTAATTTCTTTATTAATTTATTTCTAACTTTTCCAAATTATAAAATAAATAATTTCAAATCAAAGTTTGTTTTACTTAGAGTCCAAGAGCGACAAATTGATGAAATCAAATATTTTGGAATTTGTATTCTTCGTCCGCTACGAGTTTTTTTCTAGGATTCTCTCTTGTATTATTTGTTTGGAGATGCTTATAACGATCCCTAATTGGTTAATTTCTCAAAGTCTATTTTCAAAATCTGAAAATGAAATATATTTCCAATTCTTTGGAAACCCCCTGGATTAGATGTCAAAATATATGAACTGTTGTCAGCGTCTGCTGAGTTGATCGTTGCGTCAGTGTTCCAATATTTTTTTAAATAATTTTATTCTAACTCTATGTCCTCTTTTTAGACTTGGTAAATACCT